AGCCAAGAAACTGGAAGAAGAGTGAGACTATGTTTTGCTGGAGACCAAGGCCAAGAACATCCACACTATTGTATTCCCAATCACTACATGGGGGTGTGAAAGCTGAACAGTGAAGAAAGCTGACAGAGGAAAATGGACGCATTTGAAATGGGGTGCTAGAGGAAAGCTTTGCGGATACCATGACTGAGGGAAAGACAAACACGTGTGTCCTAGAGCAAATCAAGCTAGAACTTTTCCTGAAAGCAAAACTGAAATTGAAGCTTGCCATACTTCAGGCCATGAGCAGGCAAACTCACTGGAGAAGACAATAATGCTAGATTAAGTCAAAAGCAGAAGGAGAATAACGCCAACTATAAGATGGGTCAATTCCATAAAGCAAGCCACAGTATTAAGTTTACAAGAGCTGAGCAGGTCTGTCAAGGACGGGACACTATGGAAGGCATCCATTCATGGGGCCACCATAAGTCAGAGTTGGCTTGATGGCACATAACAACAAGAAATGCATACAGGAAAATAGGGAATTCTAGGTACGTTTGTGTGGATGATCCGGTTCTGCTGTTTGCAAACATCCATTAAAATCTACAGGACTTAAATTATTTCTTTGTACAATCATGAAAACTGGCCACATATTTTTAAGGAAAACATCTCAATGTGCTAAGAAATGTCTGGACATAACCAGAATATATTTATTACTTTTAAAAAAATTGGTTTTGCTGCTGAAAATGTCACATCTAGTCATCCTACACAATGTGAGTTAATCTCCGTTAAATGTGCACTTATGGTGTCAAAAGAGTGTGTGTGTGTGAGACAGAGAGACAGAGTGGGAAGAGAGAGAGAGAGAGAGAGAGAGAATGCACTAGGCAGTACACAAGTTAGAAAAGGCACTTTAAATTTATTGTCAGGATTTGCAGTCCAAAATATTAGAAAAAAAGTAGAGAAAGACAAAATGAAAATCACTCTGTCCATTTTATTTGGTCAGTGTTTTTATGGTTTCCCAGGAGATGGCCATTCTGCCAACTCGGAGAAAGCTGGGATACATTCTTATACGAACATTCGGGGGCAGCCATCCAGAACTCTCGCTGTTCCACTAGCTTGTTCCCAGCACTGGAAGTGTCAGTGGCTGAGTAGCATCCTTTTGTCTGCTCGGTTATACTTAAACTCTGCTGTTTTCTCACTCGCGCGACACCGAAACAAACACAGATTTGTCACCACTTGCTCCAATGCAACCCGCTTTTGCAATGGTCATCAGGGTGCCTCGCATCAGCTAAAGCTCTATTGAAACAGGCAAGCATTTACCACAGTTGGGAATTTCCCATATGGGGTTTCACAAAAGAACCAAAGCAGATGCTTCTTGAAGAAGAAGAAGAAATGCTAAGCAGTTTGGCTGCCTATCTTTTGATTCCCAGGAAACAGCTTTCTCTCCTCAGTGACATAATGTGTTTATTTACATTTTAATTATTCTTAATATTGTTTTAAAATGTGCCAGGAGTTTCAATTTGGAATGCTTCAAAATGTAGCTGAAACCAGAACAATGGATTGGAAGCAGGACAGGGGGAACAAAGCCAAAACGGCTCTTACTGGGGGCGGCCGGGGGGGGGGAATCTCCTCTCACCCTCTCCTCCTTATAAATGGAAAACATGCTTGCGGGACCACGCTGGTTCACCCCATAGAGCTCCTCATGGGGAGAAGAATGTGCACCTACATCAGCATGCATGGAACTAAACACACAGCTGGTAGGGGAAGTGTCCGTGCAACACAACTGGGTGACCCATGATGCATCCCTTCCACCTGTGCCGGCCTCCAAGTGACTCTCCCTCACAGTCCCTATTGTGTATTGAATTTGTAGGTCCTTGTCCTATGACGTTTGTGTTTGGACATCAATGTGGGTGTCTTTGAAGAGAGAACAAGATTGATTAATGTGACAAATTTTGGGCATGATCCAGCCTTTGAGCTAGCATTTTGCTGGACTGGGCAGGGGAGGGAGACCAGTGTGGGAAGACGTGGCTGAAAGGAATTGCACATTCAGGGTGAGGGCACATTACAGAGGTGGGAAATTGGATCATGCTGGGAGTGGGAAAAATATCATGAATTATTTGCAATATCTAATAATGTGAGGTAGTCACAAAACCACTCCAGTCATCTCCCAAAAGAGAATGGATTGAATCCAGTTTAAGCTAGTGCAATCCCGTGGATGTTCATCCAGAAATAACTAACAATGTGTTCAGAGCACCTTGCTCCCAATTTGGAATGTTTGCAATTGTAGCCTAAGTTAATTGAACGTATTTGAATCAACCATACTTAAATCATAAATGACTCCCAGACTGACTTCAGTCAGAACAAAGTTCAGCTTGTTTACAGCACAATCCTATGCACATCTACTTGAAAGTAAAACTTACTGTGTTCAAATGGGCTTTCTCTGTAGTAAGTGTAGTCAGACGTATGCAACTTTACTCTGTATGCAACTGCTTGAAAGTCCTCATTCAGGTTGCAAGGTGACCACAGTCTCCAATAGTAGCTAGAAACCTAGATTAATTTAATCCTAGATTACTAGGATTCTAATAATTGCAAACTTTTTTTTGAAGTTCACCTCTATGTGACTTTTAATTTGGAACTGGTTCTGCTTTCCTTTGTTCTTAACTGCCCAATAATAGAGTGTTCTAAAAGTAAAAACAATCAACATCATAATTAAAATAGGATGTAAAATTCCAGTGATGCCCTATCCAATGGAGAGAGAAAGGTGCAGAAATTGCAAAGCCGAGCACATGATTTAGAATTGTTTGTTTCATTCCCTGACAAGCTTCCCATTTCATAAAACTTTCTGGCACATCTTAGCTATTTATTTTATTTGTTTTCAGGGCCGTCTTAACAGCATTATGGGCCCCGGGCAAAGCAGTGTACTGGGGCCCCTACGACAACTACAACTACTGTTAATTTTGGAAGTTTTCCAATTTTCCAAGGGTTAACATACACAGATTAGTATGGGGCCCACGGGCAAGTGCCCATCAGGCCCATGCATTAAGACGGCCCTGTTTGTTTGAAGTATTTAGATACTGCTAAGTATAATAAAATCCCTGTGGAATTTTAAGTGTCACATGTTTAAGTCCTCCACAAGGGAATAGCGGGGGGTTTATTTCCTCACCAAATAGATTGCAATCATTGTAGCCTTATTGCCAGTGCTATGAAACAGTCAAGAGAATGAAGCACCCAGAACTATTGATAATGTGATGCTTAACTGTTTTAGTTTGGAAGCCCCACTGAATGCAATGGCACTTACTCCTTGGTAAATTGCATCCTTAGAGGGACATTAGCACCTGCTGCTTTGTGGGTATAAGGCAACTTCAGGACCAGTTTCCAGCCTGACTACCCCCCTCCCTCACAGAAAGACCCTCTAGCACCATCTGTCCAAGGGAAGGTCCCAGAAGAGGGGAGGGAGGGGGGGAGGCAGGGAGGCAAGCAAATACATCTCCCAGCCTGCCCCTGCAACAGGGCCAGCTATTTCCATCTGCCCAGTGGGAAGGACCGCAATCGCTTCTGTTTTCTTAGATTTTGTTCACTGGGATTTGCTTGACTGTTGGTGTTCCTTGTGAGTCAGTTTGGAAGCATTTGTATCCTGGCGGAAAGCACTCTACGATTGTCATAAATCGGCAAGTCTACTCAGAAGTAAGCTTCTCTGGTTTCAATGGCCTGCACTCCAAACTAGGTCAGTGTAGTCTTACAGCCTTGGTTATATGTTTGGCTGGCTAGCATCACTTCCATGAACTGTGAAAACACTTTTGGCAGTTCCTGCTGCTCTCTAGAGCAGCTCACTCAGCCAGCTGCACTGAACCCATTGTTCCTTCCAAAGGCCATTTCCACGCTAGTGATGCTTTGTCCTCTTCCACCTGGCGCCGCCTGCCCATCACCTTTCTTGCAGCAGCTGCTGGTCTAGTTTTGCAGACCTCTGTGGTATGATGTGGGACAGGACAGGAGCCAGGGCTTAATTTAACCCTCTGTGCTTAATGAAGGATCTTTATCTGCACAGTCTTGGGGTGGTTCTCTTTGCTGAACACTTAGGAGAATGTTTAGAGCAATATGGCTTGGATCTCCAATGCCCAGATTGGAAGACTGCAATGGCCTTGTGAGGAAAGATGCACTCTTGGGAGGTTGACAATTTAACATTTACTTCCACTGCTTTAAAAAATAAGATTGATTTTTATTCATATGCAAGACATATAGAAACAAATGTAACAAAAGATTGAGAGGGGCATCCAGTTGTCCTTTCTATAGTGCTATCACCCTGCTTCATTCATTGAATTTTACAGAGGGTTCCCACAATGTTGTCTTCTACATGTATCCTTCCTGTACCCTTCGCACAGCTTCTTCCTTCCTTTTTCTTGCCAAGGAAAATGTATTAAGGTAGAAAAGAAGGAATAGCTGCACAATGCCTTCCGATTGCTAGCTTTAGGCTCCTGCCCCTCTGTTTGGAAACATTCTAAGACATAAAGATGAGATGCTATCTCCCTACATCCTCCCTCTCACAAGTTCCCCTCCAACCACTTTTTCAAAGAAGAATCAAATCCTGACCCTTTTGTGTCAAACTTGCTCTTTTTACAGAGCTGTGGTTTATTTAGGGTCAGATCTGACGTCTTAGGGCTGGTTGATGAAACAAAGGCCAACTCTCTTCTTAAGACTTTGATGTTTGAAAAAAACGATGGCTTGCCCTTTGCAGGGCCTTCAGGCCAGCCTACACAGCAACACAGTTTTCACACATCCCACCAGATTCCTTTGGTGACATGGAACCTTCACCTGAGCGACACCTCATCTGTTCCATTGCCTCTCTGCCTGTGACAACACGGCTCGTTCAAAATAATAAAACAGCGGGGGAAATACCCTGCACACATGCGTGCACACACACTCCACAGCCGCCCTAAAAGGAAAGAGGAAGCCAGAGAACCAGGGCTCTGTCCAGTGAGCGACGAGTTCCACGTTGAAACCAAACCGTGATGCGCCTTCCTGTCTCTGTTACGGTGTAAATTTCCACCTGCCTCCTTCCACTGCTGCTCATTTCGAATGCAGCGTGCGTAGAGCTCAGGCAAATTTGTCTCAGCAGAGTGTCATGCTGCTTCTCTTCTTCACTGCAGCTCTCCGGAGGTGAAAGAGCTCTGGCTGGATACCCTTCTCCGGTAAGCCTGCGACGGGAGCCTACGTTTGACCCTGTAGCCTGGGACTGTATAGTGGTAATATATATGTTTATGGCATAGAAGCCAGTGCCCAGCTTATTGATGCAGGTGGCCGAAGCTGCCTGGAGCTTAGCATTTTACAAGGGACTTGACTCCAATGGAAGGTTTAGCTCGTTCCTACAGAAGCAGTTGTATATTCCTAGCATGTATAGCTGCTCATTTTTTCTTTCAGAGTTTGCAAGTGTCTACAGTTACAGGTCATTTCTTGTTTAGAGTTTAGAGTTATAGGTCATTTCTTCAAGTAATATTTTAGGGCATGTTGAGGCTGCTGAAAGATTTTGAGAGCTATTGCTATCACTGGCATAGTTGTTTTTTATTTGTTTTGTTGATTGGTTTTTCGAGTGGTTCAGAGAAAATATTTGTGTGCAGGACCATTCTCTAGTTTACATTTGAGCCTGGAGAATTACAGTTATTACTGTTTTTCCAGGGAGCTGAAGGTAGTCTAGAAGGGGAGGAGGGGTCTGTCTCCAGGGTTATGCACTCAGCCTGGTTTTGCCCCTAGTATTGTTCAAAATCTCTAGGCAGAAAGGAATGAAATCAAAGGCATGTGGACACAGTGGATACTGCAGTATGAAGTTTATCACGTTTGAATCACTTGGATCACTCTCAGCATAAAAGCTGTTGTCTGTATTCAGTGTGAGCTTCACAGCAGGGGGCAAAGCACAGCGGAATGCTTTGGTGGATGTTGCTGATAATTCCTCTTTATCCTAAACAGACAAACAAGAGCCATCAAAGGAGCCAGAGTCGCAAAAGTTGCATCAGTTAAATTCCTGATGAAGGTGCTAAGCAGCTGCAATGCAGTGAGTGTCTTCCTTGTTTCTTATGTTCTTGGTGAGCCCTATTAATAGGTGTTCTCAGAGCAAGGGAATTCCCAGCATGACCCATCTTTATTTTGCTTTCCAGCCCAAAAGCTTAAATGGAAGTGACATGGAGGCTTTGATTGCATGCCAGTCAGAGGTAAACAAATTCAAGGTCTTTATTTTTCATTTATTTATTTATTTATTTATGTATTTATTTCAATACATCTTAAGATCAGTGAGTTCTCAAGGTCGCATATGATAAAAATGTTATAAGCTACAATCCTAGCTAGGAAGCAAGCACCATTAAACTCAATGGAACTTGAGTAAATATGTTCAGGGTTGCTCTGAACATTATGGAGGGCCAGCTCTGCCTCTATAAAATCAAAGTCCATCAAACTTTTGCTGAACTCCACTGTTGAAGGAACAGAAGCATTTTTATTGTTGCTGTAATTACCCAATGGTTGGTTGGTTGGTTGGTTGGTTCTTTTTTTCTTTTTTAACTATTTAATGTTGCAATTTGTGAGCAGTTGCTTTGTTGTCTGTTTTGAAGTGGACTGGAGCAATGTGCTCACTAACATAGAAGTGAGATCTAGTGGAATGAATGAGCCTTTATGCTCAGGTAAACAGGTTTTGAGCTAAACTGTAAGGCTGCAGCCTGAACTGTAATTACAGCCAAAGCCTAAACCCAAACCCAAGTCCCATTGATTTCAGTGGGTGTGTTTCCCGTGATGTACAATGAGGAATCACTACATCAGCTGACTTGGGTCTATGGAGAGCATCCAAAGAGCTCTGAGGCTCCCAAAAGGAGTTTACTCCTGTCCCATGGCACTTTTCACTTTGCTTCTTCCTAAAAACCACAGAACTCCTGTGCCAAATTGGAAACTGTTTCTGAAACTCCACTTCCAGAGTAAGGGGCCGGGGATACTGTTTGAGAGAACACCTCCAACCTCCCCCAAGCCCAGAGAACACATTTAATGGAGTTGGAACCAGACTTAGTCATGCTTAGAGCTGACTCACTGAAATGGGACTTAAATCACAAAGTCTGATTAAGTGAGGATTCAACCCATGCTTTTTCAGATTAGTACTTTCCATATGCGAGTTCCTTCAACCAAGGTTGCATGATAGGGTTTTATGTAACATCCAGAGTTAATGTTGCCTTTATTCACTTTTTAAAATATATATACTGAGCTATGGGCCATGCAGAAGTCACAAGGCACTGGTAAAGAAAATTAGTTCTTGAAGCAAGCACTATTTAGTTCTTGAAGCAAGTTTCCTTTCCCTTATTAACATATAGCTATATAGATATAGGTACGGAGAGACACAGAATATCTCAGGCTTATTCTATCTATGAATCTCCCAGTGACTTCTTCACAATGGATGTTTGTTTATTCCAGGATGAAATCAAGAAATGCCAGTTTTTCATACCGTGTGATAGTGACAGTGGGCTGTGTCATCTGATCGGTACGTTTTACAAGGAAATGATACCCAATAACAAACATGAATTCTGCCAAGCCAACATTACTCTCCTTAACTCAACAATACCAGTTGAATCAGCACAAGAGAGCACAATAGCAGCAGGCACCTGGCTAAATGTCTTGGCCAAAAGGGCACCTCGGCTCCTGTTGTCACTGAGATGTTTCTTTCTGTGCATGGAGCGACGCTAGGCTGGTGCCTACGTTTAAGATCTAGAATCCGCTCAGCAACAGCTTTCTAAATTGCCCCCTAGTGGCAATATTGCAAAAAGTCAAATTTCTACTACTACACTGTTTTCAATGTGGCTTACTTGGTGACTTCTTAGAAATGTCTAAGGCATTTTATATTTCTCTGTCTAATTCAGTAGTCATGTACCCAGTGCTGATGTTACTACATAGTTACACACTGTCTTCCTTTTATTTCAACAGATAGCAATAAGAAAAGAAAGAAAGCAACATATTGGCCATTTACACTGAGACGCCTTACCACTGGGTCAGAGACTCTGGGACACCTAGAACCTGACCTGAAGCCTTCTCTGTTTGATCAGCCATTGTCAATTGTTTGCAGTGAGGAAGACATGCTTCCCGGAGCAATACAGGTAAGCAGACAGGAGGGAGTTCTATTAATGGAGTGAAAATGGTGCTCTCTGCTTCAGCTGTGCAAAATTATTCACAAAGCTAAGCAAAATGAGGATTTTCTCTAAGAAGGAAAACATTCTTCATAATCTGCAAGAAGTTTGATCAAGCTATTTACATTCGCCGCCACCAACAACAAAATGAATTGTGGGCTGAGGAAAAACTCCAAATAGAAGAAATCATATAGTTCCATCATGCCAAATAGATTCTGATTTCTAGATAGTATATTTGTGGTAGGGAATATGTTTCTGGCAAAATTTGGGTAGCAGATAAGGGGGGAAATGGAGAGAGGAAAGACTGGGGAATATAATAGTGGAGGTGAAAAGTAGCCAAGAAAGCAAAATGTGTATACACTTGGAGATCTCCCTCCCAGCCCTTTAAAATCTCTTGATTTCTGAGTTTTTGCCAGATACTTCTCAGGCATTTCCAACAATGAGTACTACAGAAAGAAAGAAAGAAAGAAAGAAAGAAAGAAAGAAAGAAAGAAAGAAAGAAAATTGAGAGTCACAGGACACAAAACCCCAGCATGTTCAATTAAACAAACATTTCACCCAAAATTTGTTTCTCACTCATTGGAAGAAATCATGAGCCATTTTCTTGAAATCAGTAGTATAGGCATTGATTGAATGATCAGAACTAGGCAATATCCCAGTTTGGCAACTAAAAAGTCAAACGAATCCCTCTCTGACAGCCTTCCACAACTCTGTGCAAATCTTTATTTAGACAAGCATTTGGCCTGCCCCGCCATTAGTGTTAGCTTTGCTGGCATATGAATCTCTGGTATAAAAGTACTTTACCTAATGCCTCTATTGACTTCTTTTTCTTAGCTAAGATTGCTTATTACTGATTTGTCTTTTGCTGTATTTTAATGCTGCATCACAAGTTGTCTTGAATACATTATTGGAAAGGAAAGATGCCCTCTCTCAATCAAACACATAACTGGATATATGACTGTATTCAGTTCTACATGGTTGTTCCTTAGTAAAATGAACCTTGGTTTGTTTCTCCTGCATCCACAGGATATACTTACAATACTCTTCCTGAACGGGCCCTTCACAGAAGGAATATTCCGGAAAGCTGCCAATGAGAAAGCACGCAAGGAGCTGAAAGAAGAATTAAACTCTGGAGGGAAAGTTGCCTTTGAAAACGAATCTGTGCACCTGCTGGCAGTGGTCCTTAAGGTACATTTCAGCTTGGCTTCTTGCTACAGCCACTGGTTTCTGTAGTCCTTGAAGAGATGCCTCTGCTCACAGTGCAGCAAAACAGCTTGCCTAAGTGCTAAACTGGGGGTTCTCTCTTGCAGGATTTTCTCCGAAACATTCCTCATAAACTGTTGCTATCTGAGCTTTATGACGAGTGGATGACAGCACTGGAGAAGGTGAATCATCATGAAAAAATTGAAGCAATGAAAGAGTAAGTTCGTCCACCTTTAGCAGTGTCTTACTGACATGCAACACAATGGGACATGAATCCTAAACAGTTTTATGTTACTGAAGGTTTCATTCTGAGACTGCAACCCTATGCTCCCTTTCCTGATCTAGCAGCAAGCGGCATTGAAATCAGTGGGGCTTACTTCTAAGCGGACAGGGAACATACATACACAGAGTGCTTTAGATTGCAGCCCTATCATGTTACATCTTTATTCTGTTTTGAAACTGGTCTGAAAGGCCCCCCCCCAGGAGGAACTGTGTTGAAGTGAAACCCTACGCCTATAAGTTCATCTATTTGTGATGCATGGGGGAGGGGATTGCTATCCATCTGTGATAGTGCTTTCATATGGAATTAATGTAAAGGCTGAACAGTGTAAAATAGTGTGCATGCCATGGATTATTAAGCTCACATTGATGAAATTACATGGCCGGAGGACCTAATCTTTAAGCCAGTTGCTTTTACAACAGGCAGCATTTAACTGGTTAATGCTTAGTCACGTGTTTGTGGTTCGCCAGTTTCAAGCTGCTGTCTGGGGGCTTTTGAGTGGGAATTTTATATAACAGCTTTGAGTGAACATTTCCACATTTCAGAGGAAGTATAGACCATGCAAATCAATCTGAAGCTTGGTTTTAAGAGAAAGCAGAACTTCTTGAGGATAACTTTTCTTCTCGTTTGCTCCATGTTACAGGGTTGCAGGCAAACTACCAAAGCCAAACCTTATTTTGCTCAAGCATTTGCTCTGTGTGCTTCGCCGCATTAGCAAAAGTTCCGAAATCAACAAGATGGATTCCAGCAATCTTGCAATCTGTTTTGGGCCAACCATGCTGACTCCGGATTGTGACCAAAGCCTTCCACTTGAAGTCCAGAAAGAGCTGACCGATAAGGTTAGCTTGGTTTTACTTCCTATTACTCTACCTTTCCTTCTCACCCTTGGCTGTTTGTTTTCCAAGAATGGGCAACATGCACCAACCTGCAGTCTGACTAAGTGCATGGCCCTACACTTATTTAAGAATGGTAGCTTGAAAAGAGAACCAAGACGTTGGCCAGTGGGACTGTTGCACTCCTAAGCATGTTCACTTTTCCACTTCAGTGTCTTTTGTTAGGGGGATTGAGGCTTAGATCTAAAACATCTAGTTGGCCCTTGGTTTGTGAATCAGGGCAGCTTCTGTGAATGTCTGGGATGAACCTGGTCCAAGAGGAAACAATAGCTTAGTAGATGAGCACTCACTCTGCATGCAGAAAGCTCTGGGTTCGGCTCCTGGCATCAGGAAGGCTGTGACAGGAAAAAGCTCTTTGTTTGGACGGCTGGGGAGCTGCCCCAGTCACGGTGGAGAATGCTGAGCTGGGTGGACAAAGAGTCAACCCTGGAGTGAGGCAGCTTAAGAGCAGCCAGGGTGGCTGCAGGAGAAAAGATGCTTACCTGTGGGATCTTTTGAATTGCAATTGAATTGCAAGTCATCATACTTGGAAGCCCTTACAGTTTTAAGTGCAAAAGCCCTCTGCAAGTGATTCATTCAGGCTTCTGGCAAGAGCCTGTTATCCCTTCCTTGACAGCCATGGGCAGGGCGAGGAAAGAGAGAGCAAGAGAGAGGAGTGGCACAGAGGAGAGTGGGGAGAGAACGTAGTCAAGCCCACTTTTGTCTCTGGTCCCACCCGCCCCTGGCATGTAGTCACCAACAGGTTATTGTTGAGGGAATGCGACCTTCAACAGAGAAAAGATTCCCAGGTCTTGCTCTAATGTTGACAGATAGACAGTGAAGGCGAGGACAAGAATCTAGCATAGAAGCCAGGCTTAAACCAGTGAAAGAATGGAACTTTCCTGGACACACTTAAAGCTTCTGCAGAAGGTTGCAGTTGCAGTTAAGCACCATGATCTGATCCATCCTGCTGTGACCAGGAAGCAAACTTGGCAGCTCCTCAATCAGCTTAGTCCACAGCAATCCAGCTGCAAAGTCAGTTACGCAAGCAGATAAGCCACAATTGCCACAGCCTCAAGCGGAGATGTGAACAGGCAGTCAGAACAGGCAGGAAGGATCTGGGATGTATTTTATCTCTACTGCAGGGAAAGGAGGGATTTATAGAAGAGAAATGCACCATGTGTTTCCTTTCAACTCCTTTTGTGCAGGGATATGGCTTAGGTACTCTTCCGATGTTACATCAAGGGATTATAATATGAAAGTCTATTCAAACAACAGTGTTCATGCTACAACAGCTAAAATAAATACTTGATTAACAAATGACTGTTTAATTTGCACAGGTGAAGACACTGGTGGAATTTCTCATTGATCATTGTTCTGATATATTTGGGGAAGAAATCCACTCACTATTCAGTATCTCGGCTGATGATTCCCTGGATAGGACAGGTATTGTAACATTCTGATACATATATAGTCACCTCAGAGTTTTTAAAGAGTTAATTTAGAGTAGTGTGTGGCAAATTATATTTCTTGGAATGTGCTAGGATTTCCTGAAGCTGCTACACCAAAAGATTGATTCTATCATATATGGTTAGTTTATTTAAGCCTGTTCTATCTGCTAAGGAAGTGACTACAACTGATAAACCACAGTGTTGGATTATTTCGAAATGTGAAACAGAGGCTCAAATGGGAGCCTAAGATCACTGAAGCTGCTTTCATATGGGTAAAGAAGCAAGGGGAGGAGATATAAAGCTCCAGGAATCTGAGGGCACTGTTGCTAGGGGTGCAAGTGTGTGGTTGTTTCTTTATGATATCCAAGGGTATCCAATCATCTAAGGATGGTTGCATGTAATCTTAATATCAGCTAGGCTCTATTTTATCTTAGAATTGCTAAATTCTGATCAGATTAGAAAGTAAATGTGGGTAAAATGCCTCTTTTTTAAAATTGCAGATTGTAGGCAAAATGACTCTTTTTAGAAATTAAAAATATTCTTAGAGATTTATATTATGTGATATTGCAGGAGGAGATAAATAATATAAACTTTTAGGAAAAGTAACAATAGAAATAAAAGTCACTATACACCCATAATTTTTGGAAAACCCAAAATCTTTTTCTAAACCCTATGTAATATGGGGACCAAGATGCATGTCTGTTGGGCATCAGGAAGGTAGTTAAAATATAAATATAGCATCATTCTCTTCCACTGTTATTTATATATAATACCCCAGCCTTACCCATCATGGTGATCCCAAAGTTTTGAACTAAGCTCCCACCATCCCTAACCATTAGTCATGCTGGCTGGGGCTAATAGAAGTTGTGGTCCAAAACATGTTAGGAAAAGCTGTGATACGCACACACATATATACTATATTGCTGGTATAAGAGACCGGCTCTTTTATAAAGGTGACCACAACCTGTTCCATAGTGCTAACATGTGCTTTCTCTCCTCCAGAAGCTCTGTCTGCCAGCCCGCAGCATGATTCTGCCTACGACAGTGCCGACCTTGAAGGAGAATGCGATTCCAGTGATCTCCAGCCAGAGGATCCACAGCAAGCCAATGGAACAGGCAACAGGCCGAGCCATGCAGAATTCTCCTCACAACAGCCCCTCATCCAGTCCACCTCTCTCTCCACACTGAGCCGTTTAAAACAGTCTGTAGGCAAACTGGACCGTAGATTCTCTGAACCAGACATGTTCTCTTCTAAGGGCTGCCAAGAACACCAAATGAAAAGCCAGAAGCTCGCCAGAACCGGGGAGAATTTCAGTCAGCAAAAGGAAGCAGGGTTGAAGTGCCAAGAGCTGGGAATGCCAATGGAAAGTCAGCCTTCTCTTTCAGGCATTTACAGGAACAAAAAACCACCAAACCTATCTATCAAAGCAGATGTGCAGGCAGAACTATCAAGCCACTCCTTGCCCAGAAGCTCCTCCAACAGTTCATTAGACAGCGCCTCCTCGACCTCTGACTCGTCTGTCTTCACCAGCTCACCATTGACATCGCCGAGCCACAAAAATGCCTTAACTCAGCCACAGTCCTCTTCCCTCCAGGTTTCAGATGGAAATGACACATCCATTCCAAATCTCAAGAGGCATTCCATGTCATTTTCTGTGTTGCGCAAGAAGGGGCTAGCAAAGAGCCAGAGTTGCCATTCAGCAGGCTTTCTAAGAGACAGTTTCAAAAGGGACTCCAAGAAAGAGAGACATCTTTCCTGCCGAATTGTTCACACGCCTTGTGTGGATAGCTATAAGCCAGCACCGCTTGGGTGTCAACCCAAGTCTACTTTCATGTCAGCAGATGAGGTTTTCCACCTCGTGGATCAAAAGAACCCTGGAAAGCCTCCATCCTACGAAGAGGCTACCAAAAACTGGCCAGCTTGTAGACTTCCTTCATATGGTAGCTCAACAGTTCAAAATACGAGGTCCACTGTGCTGCCTCCATCTGTTGAGCATCAACATCCCAGGCTCAGCAGAGAAGCTGCAAACAAGGAGCCTAAGGACCTTCCTAGTGACAGGGTCTTTGTGAACAGTGATTCAAAGGACAAACCTGTTGATGTTGTCATTGGGATACATTCCAGAGCTAATTTGCCTCTGACCCCTCAAGTCTATCGCCTTAGGACCATGTCTGGCTCTTATCAAAAGAACAAGCAAGAATATCTGGTTCGGCGGTGCAGTCAGCCAACCTTTGACCACATTCAGTGTGCAAAGGAGTCCTATGTTTAGGACTCTGTCTTGTTTCAGCACAGCAATGTGAAAGCAATTTTTTTTTTGCCCAATATTACCGCACCTAACATAAGCTCACCTGTATCTACCTTTCCTAAAAAGAAGTAGTTTTTGCAGTGTCACATGGAATGTATGCTGCTCTCCTATACTCTGTACAGTCCTTATACATAATGGATGTATTTGTGGATATCAACATTTGTGAATTTTAAAAATACATTTTAAAGCTGAGCAAGAGGAGTGGTTTTGCCCATCTTGTCCTCACAGAAGTCCTACATCATTTGATTTATTTCTTCCCCCTTAAAAACAGAGACAGGAGTTCAGCACCCACAGAATTCAAGAAGATGAAGTTGGCCAGGGGTAGGGGGGTTGCTGTGCAGCCCATCTGAACCCAGTGACAAAGCAAAATTGTCCTTTACAACATATCAGGTTGTATTGCCTTGTTTGGTTACACACTACCCAAGCAATACCATTTCCTATTTAGATGCGATTTCCTGCTGAAAGAAACCACAATCTTATGAAATGGACCCTGTGAAAAGATGCAGAACTCACTTTCTCTAAAGGTCCTAGTAGGTTAACCACCCTCATCTGAATCATCTTTTGTGCTGCATTAGGGGCCACAAAAGCATTTGTACACTAAACATTGTGGTGCACACACACACGTGTGTGTGTGCACACGTGTGTGCGTGCGAGAGAGAGAGAATAAGATTGCCCTCTCTAGATCGAAGTTAATGTTCATCTAGTCAAGCATACTGTCTCAAAATGTAAACTATACAATGCGTTGAGTTTCTGGGTAGAGTTCTCTTGTCCTTTCCCCCCATTATTTAATAATCAGAAAAGAGGGTGCTTCCTCTGAATACCATCTCAATTTCATTGCTAGCTAAGTGCCTATAACAGCTTTCTGTACAGTAAATTATTTTAAAAGCAGAATACCTAATCCAAAGGTTTACCATTTTAATTCCTCCACTCCACCATATTCAGAAGATTACACTTAATTCTGGCATCAATTTGCTGTTAATAAGCCACGTACAGAATCCTGAACTCCCACAGGACACTTGCACATCCATTTAACATCACCATCAGAGCCTTTAGCTAGTGGCATTGCTGGTAACAGCAGCCATCTCAATCCATCTTTATTCCCACAGAAAAGCTATGGCATCATTGTCATAACCATCCAAAGATGCTTTAAGCCAAGTCAGTGGGACCTGGGTGCAGTTGTTTAAGCTCGCATGCATCCGTCTTGATTCCGAGTGCTTCCAGATGGAAGCATTACCAGTTAGAAGGCACTGTGCAGCTTTTCCATCTTTCCATGGTCAGAGAAAACATGGAAAAAGTGGTGGGAAAATATGGGAAGGTTATGAGTGGAAGACAATGACTTGACCCTGGGTAAAATTCTGTGCATGAGACAAGGTGATTACAGGAAGGCTGGAAGTGCCCTGCACCTGCATCTCTAGCTCTGCTGAGGATGACGTGAACGCGCATTACATAACCTGGTTGCTGCTCTGCGGACTGCACATCCCTGTAGTTGCACACACAGGGAGGAGGGGGCTGCATGTGTTTCCCTGCCTGTATGAAGGTCCCCTGTGGGAACATCAGCCTGCAGAAACTGGTGCACCACAGAATTGTATATAGCATTTGAAGTCACAAACACATAGCAGTCCAGCAAAGTGGGCATAGCTATGTGCCAAGAGTTGTGTTTGTTTGCTTTTTCATTTAAATCATGCACCGAAATAAAGCACTTTTCCAGTCTGACAAAAGCATATTGTTCTTTCTTTGCAAATACTCAGCCAATATCTAGCAAAGACGTAATCAGATGATAACACAGAAAATAGGTAGTCTGCTCTAAGAACACTTTCCTCAAAGCGTTGATGCTTGCCCACAGAACTGTACATTAGGGGGAGCCATATCTTTAAAAGAAAAGAGAGGCAGATAGACCTTGAAATGGAAAAACAATTTTATTTTCTTCAAAAGTGTGTTTCAGTTAAATGCATAGATTGGTTGTCCGTGAACTTGTGTGGTCTTTGCCCAACAATTGATTCAAATTGGCACAAAGTTAAGGTGGTGGCGCAGTGGTTTAAACTGCTGAGCTGCTGGACTGGTTGATCGAAAGGTCACTGGTTCGACTGTGCACAACGGGGTGAGTTCCCGTTGCTCCATCCCAGCTCCTGCCAACCTTGCAGTTCGAAAGCATGCAAATGCAAGTAGATAAAAAGGTACCACTTTGGTGGGCAGGTAACAGCACTTCGGTGTTTAGTCATGCCAGCCACGTGACCACGGAGACTGCCTGTGGACAAACGCTGGCTCCCTCGGCTAGGAAACGGAGATGAGCACCGCCCCCTAGAGTCAGGCATGACTGGACTTAATGTCAAGGGGAAACCTTTACCTTTATAGAACTTTCATGGGCCGTATTACGCAACACAGAGACAAAGCCAAGGTTACGCCGCAACAACACCTGGAGCGGAAGCAGGTAATTTTGAGGGAGAAAAAGGGGAAAAGAAGACAAAACAGACAGCAAGCAAAAAAGAATGGGCAGCCCACCTCCCACATGGGGCACAATGAGCTATCAGGGCTTTGGATGCGGCAGTTGCTGAGCCACGAGATTTCCCAGCAGCGGCAGCACTTGCTCTTTCTCTTCAAGAGGAACTTGCGGGTTATGATCCAACATTCAACCCCGGACGCTGCTTGCACAAAACCATTGCATATCTGCCCATATTCATGTCGGTTGTACTTTTGCAAGACCGCTGGCAGCAACCTCAAATTCTCACACACACCTCCCATATTGATCTATATCTTTTTATTGAATGGTGCTGATGGTTTTCATTTAAACATTTCCCTATCTAGGAAGCTTCCAGAGAAAGGGTTTCTAGCACTGGCAATGTGAAGGCACAGGACAGCTTTGCCATCTTGGTTTTCTTTCAGATCTTACCTGTGGTAAGAAAAAAAGGTGAAAGAAGCAGTGGGGAAACATGGGAGGGTTCCAAGTAGGAAAATGACAACATCTGAATCCCCCAGTAAAATTCCATGAATGATGCAAGAGGATGGCACCATAAGAGCCCCATCTGACTGGAAGCAGCCTGCCTGAGGTCTGATATTCAGGATGAGCTCATGAGGCAGCTTTGACTAAGCATTTAAAAGGCTGTAAGGTCATAATCCTATGGCTACTGATGGCTCCTGGTCTGATGCTCTGATGCAGAAACCCTCTGTCCATAGTAAGACCTGCTGGTAAGAGCCAAGCATGGCTGAAGGAACAGGAGATGCCTTGACAGCCTTTGTGTTGGACAGAACCAAAACCGGAGAGACCTGGTGAATCTTCAGGCCCTCCCTCCCTGTCCTGCCCTCCCATATGTCCAGCTCCCTGTCCAAGCACAGGTGAGAAGCCACTGCAGATCTCTCCACCATAGCTGGGAGGGAAAGATTATTCCATGATCCGATCTCTTCCTCCAAGGCCAGAACGCTGTCTCCAGCCTTAGTCAAGCAATTCTACAGTATCCCATGGGTAATCCAGATGCTGCCTTGGGGCCATAAAATTGCATATAAAGGCAATTAATTTAAATAGCAAAATCTAGAGCAGCCTGTGCAAAAAGGACTTTTTCAAATTGCAAATGAGTTAACGTGATTGGATAAATATAAATATGTATAATCCCAAATATATCTACATAAAGTTTAGTGTCAGAAAATCTGCAGTAAAATAGTTTAAACGAAGTTCTAGAGTTTGAAATGGAAATAATTGTTTTCATTGCAAAGACCTGTGCCCTTAGAGTGATGCATTATTATACACTGAAATGAAAGGCCTGATCCAACACAGATTTAGATCTGAAAAAGGTCCCACCTCTCCCACAGTTCCCAAGCATCTAGAGCATCATCGGCTGCTGTGGAGCTCCTCCATGCTAGGAGAAGTTCAGACAGTGGTTCCTCCATCCTCATCCACCTTCCAGCCAACACTGAAAGCTTCTTTTCTAAGGTCACAACTGTGACCTTGAAAAAGAGGTGAGAGAGGAAGAAAAGATGGTGCTGCTGGTGGGGAGGGGAGGGGAGGGGATGGGAGGAAAGAGGGCCAGATTCACAGTATCCCAAGGCCTTTCCAGTTTTCTTGCTGCCCACCAAAAAGTAAGTCAGATAGATGGGCTCAGAGGTATGCCTGTTGCTTTTGTATTTTAAGCAGAGGATCAGAGGGGAAATCGTGTTCTCCTGTTGGCAGAAAATAGGATAGGTGTAGACCTTTGAACTGTCTGAGTGCTGTGGCCTATAGGACTGCATCCTTCTGATGAGGATTCAGCCTGGCCTGAATGCTTTCAATTACGATAGATCATTCTTAGCTCTATTAATATGTGAATACCTGTATTTTGGAGACCAAGCAGCATTTGAAAAGATATGGAGGACACATACTATTAAAACTTTACACATCACTTCTAAAATGTGATATTGAATATGAACAAGTAAAAGAAAAGATTCTAATGGAAATTTTGGAAAATGGAGGGAAAGTATAAATAAAATATATACAGTTGTGCTGTAAGTGTAAAGACAAAAAATCAGATTGTTTTAACCTATGATGAAAATGCCCTTTAGTTCAAAGATACTGGAGAGGAATAATTTTTTTCATGGGAAAGATCTTAGGTTATGAAATTTCCTTGAACCTAGTCAATTTTTTTTCTTTTTGAAGTGTACACTGCTCAGAGAGTCCTAACAGAGCTATAGGTGTGGTCTATAATTTTAATAAATAAATAATGTTAACAAATATACACTGTAGAATGTTTTCCCTTCCTCACTGCATTTCATTCAAATTTATGGGAATATGGGGATTTATTTTGAAGATATTGGAAAGAGATTAAAACAACACTCATCATTAGAGCAGGATATGCTACATGTAGAGTTATGTTACATACCCTTTCAGCTTGGTATAAAGCAGCCATGCACAACCTGGTGCCCTCCAGGCTGGCTGGAAATGATAGGAGTTATAGTCCAACACTTCTGCAAGCGGCTAGGTTGGGAAAGGGCCATAAAAAGTCCATAGCAAAGCATGGCATTGGCTGGTGTGTTCTTTGTCAATTGAGTTCAACTGAACTGCTCAATGGCAGGTGGTAGGCAAGTCCCCATAAGGTTAGTTATGTGGTGGGTCTGACTTTCTCTGGACCGATGCAGCAAAACCCCTGAAATATGCACAACCTGCTGCTTCAGTTGGCCAACCCCCAGAATCGCCTTCATCCAAGAAACATACAAAGGGAGATGGCTTCAGGTTAAGGCTCATAGGCAGCAAAATGTTATGGCAGGAAACTCAAAACCAAGCTTGGTCTTGGCTGTCTCTTTTCTTTGAATTCTGTTTCCATGTCAACGTTTACCTCTCACGCGTATCAACAGGAAGTGAGAAGCTCCTCACATATCTGTATGAAAATATAGATAACCCAGATTTCAGATAATCTAAAATATCAGAATACCCACAGTTTCCCATCTTTAACATGAGCTTCCAACAATCTCATGGATTCCTTATTGCCTGAATAGCTGCATATGTGTGCAGACTGCAGCCCTCCAAGATAGTGATTCATAAATTCTCCAGTCTACCCATCAATTTAACACTTTCCTCCTAGCTTCCCTGCAGCTTCAAGACAAACAATTACAGTGGCAATTGTGAGTTTTCAGAATTGTGCCTCTGCTTCAACTTGAGTACAATCAGTTCCTGACTGTCCTGGTTTTCTTGCA